CACACTTCTCATAACTCCATACTTAATGGAGATGAGGTTGTAATACACCATCTTTAAGTGGATGTTACTACTTGATGCAACATAGCATCAATTAAATACAATATCTCCTAACTGCGACTTTAGCCCGACTTTCACTCTATCCCTGCTCAGCTATCCTTACAACGCATGTATATGTTGTCAGCTCGAATCTTGTAACGAGCCCTTATACTTGCTTACTGCTAGCAAGTCACTTCCCGGGCTCACATAAGGATAAGACCGAGCTCCCCTAATACCGAGCCGATCGAGCTACTACGACCTTTATTGGACCGACCTTCATAACACCGAGCTACTACCCATTAATGTCGAGCCAATATAGCTACAAGGTCGAGTTACTAGCGCATCAGCTGGGCCGAGCTTATTAATATGTTCTCTGGGCCAAACTCATTAACGTATCTGCTTGGCCGAGCTCCTTAATATGTTCTCTGGGCCGAGCTCCTTAATGTGTCTACTGGGCCGAGCTACAAGTATATTTATCAAGCCAAACTAATCTTCCCGGTTTGTTGAGCTATTCTTATGTGCTATATCAAATAACATTTTTAATTAACAATTCTTGATATTTTTATCATTGGCCTATTATCATAACTTCATTTTAACTTTCAAGTAATTAGGGACAAATTTAAAAAAATAATGGTAAATGATTCTACGACATTTAATTGAATTAAAATTAGTCTTCTAGGCGAAGAGAGTATGATTATAATTAAGAAAAAAATATCAGAAATAAATTTTTTAAAGGTTGCTACTTGCTTGTTGTGTAAACTTAATATAAAGATTTATTAGGTTGATTATTAGTAGACAATAGATGCATATATTGACTAACATTATCACTTTTAATTTCAATTAATGATGTATATAGATTTGGTAGGTAGCAAAAATATTGTGGAAAATCTAGAGGCAGACTTCTTCATCTGGTGGCTTATAAAGATTTCACATCTGCAGGCTTCAATTTTCTTTATAAGGTGACAGCTTGATGAAATCACCAAAATCATCATATCAATATTTTTATTTTTTTTTTTAGCTAGCCACGATATCCGGAATTATGTCCGGACTAATCCGTTGGTCGACTCGGGTCGCACACCTAATAATGGTGGGTGAGTCTCCCAACAAGGGTTTTATGCATCCACAATAACTCGAACCCGAGACCTTGCTTAAGGGACATCAAACGACATCAAATGGTGAAATAACTGCTCCAAAAGTAGGTCGAATTTTTTCACAAACGAATTTTCCAAAAGGAAAAAAGTGTCAGACGCCGTAACAAAGCTCCACCTTTGAAACCAAAATAAGTCAACCCCTGCAATATATCAACTAGTACTATCTTTCTCCAATCAAATGAAACATCAATGATGTTTGATTTATGATTTGATAGTCAATGGAAAAAAAACATTAATTAATTACAAATAGTACTTTTCTAATTTAAATTTATTAGGAAAAATTCTTATTTATCTTATACTATCATAAATACATTAAACATTTGATGATAATAATGTACTACATAATATAATTTCTTTTATATTGATTACTTTTTTTAGTTAAAATTTAAAATGAGCATTGAGAATGAAAATTGATTAAATTTTACGTTAAAAATTTAAAACGAACTTTGATTATTGTCAATATAGATGTAGATCCGATATGTAGCATATAGATTAATCAATTTTTAGAGAAATTAAACTATCTATATGTATATAATTGCAAGAAAAATATTTAATAAAATTCTTTTTGTTTTGTCGCCTTTTTTGGTTACTTTTGCATTAATCAACCAATTTTATTTTTTATTTTTTTTATTATATAATTGCTACTATTAACTAATAATAAAGTCACATTAAATGTTATTATGTGCTAAAATTTTTTTCAAACTATTTATTTAAATTTTGTTTTATTAAAATTAATTAATAATTTTTTATGGCATAAGCAGACAATTTAAAATTTCGTACACTTGCTATAAATAATAATTTCAATATTATTTTATCCAATTAATTGGTCAATACAAAGATGAATATGTAACTTAAATAGTTTATATTTATATCGTTCATTTTTTCTAAAAATAAAATTTATAAAATATAATTTGGTCATTATCTAACTTATAATTTTAAATATCTCATAAACAAGCATATAACGTATAAAATATTATTTGGATTTTTGCATGTGCACAAAGTCGAATATTAGTATATTTATATAATTTTGAGCAGTATTTTAGTTGTCTTTTATACTGATTGATTAAAAA